TTTAAGCGTCAAATGATTTTTTTTTATTTGTTTCTTTCAGATTTGGCCGATATTTTGAGCGATATTATTTTTCACACATAATTCGTCCACCGGAATGGATTGTTCAAGTTCCACGTGCCATGCCTCTTCCGGGGGTAACTGATACTAAGACACTTGGAAGAAGCATGGCACGTGGGAATAGAAAAATCTACCCTAAATAAAGGGTTCAGTTCGAAATTCCAATCACCTGACGAAGGCCGGAGCGTACAACGGCCGAAGCGTCCTGATTATGGCAACGAAGATTAGGACAACAGTCCGCACAATGTGAATAGTGTAATCTCGGGTGAAAGAAAGGTAAGCTTAGGAAACAAAAACACGTACCTCATGGGCACAGCAATTTACTGCAACACAATTTTTTTCATGTCTCATTTGTGCCAACTTCTCCAAGAACGACAAACAACTTTTTGTTGAATAATACAAAGCAAAAAATGGTTTTACTGACTTCATTGAACTGGAGATACAAAAGAAATTCTTGCCTACATTAGGACTTAGAAACGCTTCAAGCCCAATACTTACATTGTATCTTCAAAAATAAATAAACATAACCTCTAGTCGATTGAAAGCAAAAAGGGACAAAGCTGTCTATTGTTTTCCATTCATTCCTTCATGGAATATGAAGCCAACACAATGGCGGTTTCTTAACTCAGTCAGGGAGGGTTTGCAGGTCCCGAATCACGCAGGTAAGTACAAACTATTTCTATTCATAATGATAGTCATGGTGACCATAATTCATGGGGATTGGTCTTGATTTCTCATCCTATATGTAAAAAGACGTAAATTGTTACGGACTCTCTGATTGGTTAAAAATCAGATCAGTTCCTCATTGTTTTACCTTTGGTATCAGTGATTCATTTTGTTGTATGAGTTTCTAAGTCAGAATACAAGTGTTTGTTCAAGAATTCCCTTTCCCTGAATATAGTCTGACTCTGTTAGATTTTAGTCGAGGTGGAACTCCTTTTCTTTACCTATCTTTCTTTCTTTCTTTCTTTCTTTCTTTCTTTCTTTACCTTTCTTTCTTTCTTCCTTTATTTGGGTTTAATTTCGATATAATTTAACGTCGTTTATTCATGACTTAGGAAAGTCATTCATTTGATAATTGTCGATTTTCTTTTTTTTTTCTTTTGTCATTATTTACTTTGACTTATATTTCATTATATGCTTTCTCGTCAAACATTTTATAGCTACGATTTCGTTCCTTTTTTTCCTACTCTATTTTCCATTCTCTTTTTATTTTCATTTTTCCTTTGTTTCTTTCCCTCTTTTCTCTCTTCTTATCTATATTCTTTTTCCCACTTTTTCTTCTTTACTCGTTTTTCTTTCGTCTTTTCTTTTTCCGCTCACCTTTTCTTTATTCTCTGATCTTTATTTTCTCTTTCCTTTCTTGTTTCCTCTTTCTTTCGTCTTTCATTTTTCATTATTCTTCTTTGCTTTTTCTTTCACTTTTCCCTCTTTTCTTTCTCTTTATCTTTTTCTTCCTTCTTATCTTTTTCTTTCCTTCATTTTTCATTCTATGACATTTCATTTACTTTCCATTTCTCTTTTTTTTTCTTTTTGCTTTCTTTTCGTTTTTCTTCTTTATTTTTATTTTACCTTTCATCTTTTTTATTTTTCTGATTCTATTTTTCTTATGTCCGGTAAGACTTGTTATACTGCGGCGAACGATTTTTTTTTCTTCCACCGAATGAATTCGAATCTTCGTCGCCACTTGTTTTGGTCCGGTTCCTTGTACCACGGTGATAGTCCAAGGTAAAACCAATAAAGAAGAACGCGAACACAGGTATGGAATAACACAGATATATTACAAACAGGAATATATACAGAGAAGTAGAAGTGTTAGTATGAACAATCAGGTTTAGTAGAGAGAACAATATAGTCTCGACCAGTATCAATATTCCAATGTCTTGCAGTAATTGTCTGAACGCGACTCTGTTTCGGGCTGCCTCTGACTCGACTGACTGACTCGACTTGAACTAATGACTCCTTGTCTACTCCTGAGGCGCAGTATTTATTAAGTATGAAATAGTCCATTATTATTATTATGGGTAAGATCCCATAACAATTTTCCCCTAGCGTTCTTCGCTCATCTTTCATCTTTTTTTTTTCAGCTTTTTAACTTTTCTTTTCATTTTCTTTTTTCTTTGCTATTTCTTTTCTTTTTCCTCTTTTCTTTCTTAATTTTCTTTCTTCTTTCATCTTTATTTGCATATTTTTCTTCTTTGTTATTTTTGTTTTTAAATCTTTTCTTTCCTTTTTTCCTCTTCTTATTTTATTTCTTCTTTCCCCTTGTCTTTCTTCTTTTCTTTTTTCCTTTCTTCTTCTTTCCTCATTTCTTTCTTCTCTCCTATTTTCTTTTCTCTTTCCTTTCGTTTCTCCTTGTTGCTTTTTTTTCTTTCCATTTTCTTTCCTCCTTATTCTTTTGAAACCATTTTTCTATTTATTTATTTTTTTGTTCCTTTTTCCTCTTTAATTTTTTCTTTTCTATTTTCTTTTTCTTTCTCTTTTCATTCTCTTACCTTATTTTTTTCTTATTTCTTCTTTCCTTTCTTTTTTCTTCTTTTTTATTTTATATTTTGTCTTCTTGAGTCTTTTTCCTTATTTAATATTTTCTTTCTTCCTCTTTTTCTTTCTCTTTTCTTTCTTTGATTTTTCTTTCTTTTTCCTTTCCTCTTTTATTCTTTACACTTTTTTATGTTGTATTTTCTTCCTTCCAATTTTTCTTTCTTTACTGATTTCTTTCATCCTTACTTTTTTTCGTTTTCTTCTTTTTTCGGTCCTTTTTTCTTTCTTTTTTTTTAACGTTTTTCTTTTTTCTTTCTTTTTTTATTTCTTTTTCCCTTTTTCTTTCTTCTTTTCTGTTTTCCTTTCCTTTTTCTTTTCCTTTCTTTTTCAATCTTTCCTCTTTTCAGTTTTCTTTCCATATTTTATTTCCGGTTCATTGTTATATTTTTCTCGTTTAGCCATTTTTATTTTCCTAATTATCCTTTGAATAACAATTATTTTCAAACTTTTGCCGCTTCTTCTCTAATTGTCGTCTTCCCTTCTGCATTCTCTCCATTTTTATTGCTCTTGTCCTCAATTCTTTGCATTTCTCGCACAGATTGATTCATCCGCCATTTTAATTGAGGCGACAGACACAGAGAAAGAGAGACTTCTGTTTTATGGCTGAAATAGATACATATTTACCACCAACGGTTTCAGTTGAAACCAAAGTAAAATATAACATTTCGTTGGCAGGATTTCAAGGCAAATAAGCCTTCTCTTCTTAAATTAATATCGCAATTCAGTTTTCTTCGTTCCAATCCAGACGATGCTAAGTTTCGCGTTTATATCGGATGTGGAGAAAGAAAGACCGCAACAATTGACAATTAGAAACTCCTAAAAAAGAAAAAAATTAAATATATATATATATCTATTATTAATGAATAATTTTCAAACTTTCTTCATTCGTTCTTTTATCTTTTTTTTTTTTTCTTCATTCCATTCTTCCTTTTCATGACCCTCTCTAACTAACCACTTGGGTGGGGAGGAGCAGATAGCCACCAGTGCTCAACCAAACCTATCTTACACCCTATTAACATGTTTACGAAATGTCACTAATCTACCCGGTGAGAAAGAAAGAAAGAAAGAAAGAAAGAAAGAAAGAAAGAAAGAAAGAAAGAAGGAAGCAAGCAAACAAAAAGCATGTTCAGTCGTGCCCGGAATGTGAACATGATTTTTTCGTTGCCTAATTGTATAAAATAAATTCTATCCAATCTTCAAGTTTCATTTTTCATATTACAAACATTACAGTATTTCAATGTCAGGAGGAAACACTCCTACGTCTACTGTTAATTAAACATATCTACTCGCACAATATACTTAGTCATCCATATTTACTAAAGATAAGTAACATACTTTTGTCATGATTTCTTTTACTTTAGAAATATATTTATCAGTATTCAAGTCCGGGTAAAAGTTAGAATATTAATTTTCTAGGCAGGTACGAACACACATTACCAACTGAAAGATGGACAAAGCTCAACATTCCTCATCGCCAAGTGACCTTGTACCAGGGTAAGCTAAGCTAAAAAAAACATCTACAAACTATTTAGAATATTCTATTATATATTGACGGCAAATAAAATTCCAACACTTTGAATAAAAATGCCGATTTGTGTCTGGATAGAGCGAGTGTGCATTCTAGGACGAATACAATCGTCTTTGGCTATCCTCTGATCTAGTAACATTCATAACAGTGCGTCATCTGTGTCTGAACTTTAGACAATGAAAAATGCTGCGATAAGTGTGATGAAAATGCCTAGTGCAAAATAGGTACCATGCTATAGGGACGGGCATCTAGTCCTTTTATTCAATTAGAGCCATTTCAGGAGAACGGTTTGTGAACCTTCGACCGGTTAAATGGCTATTTCGGAGAACCATTGCGCATGGTGGACGTGTAGAACAGGTGATAATTTGATGTTGGCAACAGTTGTCAAATTAATATTCCTCCGCCCATGGACCAGGTTCTGGAGGGTCACGTAGCACAGAGGTTTGCAAAGATTGACGCTGAGCGTATAGAGTCCACTGCACAGATCAGATCAAATGTGACCCCACGGATGTCGTTATGAATTGTTAAGGTCCATTTACATGTCTATAGGCACGCCTACCTCTCGTCAAACTTACTCCAACTATAATACATGTCTCCACTGGTGTGGATCTCTTTCGATCACCGAAATAATTAGATGAGTGACCGATTGGAAACACTGTATACTGTAAGCAGCCTTCTAAAATCCGGAAATGTGTTAAAGCTTTAAATAATTCACAAAGGGTTGATAAACCGAAAAAAATCAATCAATCAACCCTCTTTCTTCTTCTTCTTCTTCTTCTTCTTCTTCTTCTTCTTCTCTCTTCTCTCTCTCTCTCTCTCTCTTTCACTCTCACTCTTTCGCACCCTCTCTCTCTCGCTCACCCGCTCTCTCTTTCTGTGGTCAAATAACGATGAAAACACTGGTTCTCGCTCGGTCACTGAAGTTAAGGAGCTTCGGGACTGATCAGTAATTAGATGAGTGACCGATTGGGAACACTGGATACTGTAAGCAGCCTTCTAAAATCCGAAATGTGTTTAAAGCTTTAAATAATTCACAAAGGGTTGATAAACCGGAAAAAATCAATCAATCAACCCTCTTTCTTCTTCTTCTTCTTCTTCTTCTTCTGCTGCTGCTGCTGCTTCTTTTCTCTCTCCCCTCTCTCTCTTTCGCACCCTTTCTCTCTCTCTCTCTCTCTCTTTCACTTTCCCGTTCTCTGTGGTCAAATCACAATGAAAACACTCGTTTTCTTTCGATCACTTAAGTTAAGATGCGTCGGGACCGGTCAGTAATTAGGTGTCCACTTGGGAACACTGGGTACTCTAAGCAGTCTTCTAAAATCCGAAATAAGTTTCGTCTTTGAAATAAGACGTAAAAAGAAATCAATCAATCAACAATTCGACCTGAATATCAAATGGTGCTCTGTATTATTCAGGAATAAGTGGTGGTTCGTTGTTTATGCAAGTGATGGTCGTTTGTGTATACGATCTAGAGTGGCACCTTCCGTAATGTATTTGACCACGACACACAGGTCCACCACTTATAGCGTAGGGCATCATAACATTTGATCGCCGTTGGTGTTTGAATAGAGATTGTTGAACATGGCGATGTAAGTCTAGAACATCATCGAAATCGTTCTGTTGTCATTCCATTAGTAACAGGAATAATAACCATACTGCCAACCTCCAGCCAAAGTGATGCCCGTATTGCTGAACAGATCCATCCTCCATTGAACATGTATGGGACATGATGGAACGACGCCCGACTTGTTCAGTTAGCCCATCTACAGCAGTATTGCGTCAAAAAGAGGCGTATAATACTAACAATATGTTACAGGGTGGTATTCACGATCTTATGACTAAGATAACAGGGCGGATATGTTATTGATCGAAAAGGATATACGATGTATTAAGTAGGTGGCTTGAGTTTTATTGATACACACCTTACTTTGATCATATTGATCTGAGTGCTTTTATCATTTATTGTAATCTATCTATATTAAGTGTACATTTAATCTTGAGTAAATTGAAAAATATCTACAAGATGTTACAATTTGTTTTTCAAATCATATATATATATATATATATATATATATATATATATATATATATAAGGCATAAAAAGCAAGATGTTCTGATGAGAGGGACAAAACCGGTCGACTGGTGTGTGTTTTGTTTTAAATCTATCATGGCCTATAATATAAAAATGTCTTGCTTTTTATGCCTTAATACGTTTCTGTACTGTTTCAAACACACACACACACACACACACACATATATATATATATATATATATATATATATATATATATATATATAAATATATATATATATATATATATATGAAGAAATAAAGTTTTAAGGTGTGCTATATATATTATATATGGGATAAAGTGCTCAATATCAGAAATAGAGCGTATGTAAATATAAAGTGAACATTGAACTCAACACTTAAAGGCGACAGGCTGGTTCATGCTAGACGCAATCGCCAGGTCTGTCGCCTCTGAGTGTTGACTTTAATGTTCATATATATATATATATATATATATATATATATATATATATATATATATATATATAATTAACGTGTTCAATATTAAGCAGATGACATTCGTAACAACAAATAGAATTAAATGTTCAACTTATTTTCACAACTCAGTGTTTCACACACATTATATCCGCCCATTATGTGTTTGATAGTAAAATGATATCAAACTACCTATATTTTTACATTTTCCTTACTGTTCTGGATTCCGGGTTGAAATCTGGTACCAATAAATAGCAAACGCCAGGAATGAATATATAAAAATAATGTATTAATGCAATAAGACAAACTGGTAAAGCAGGTTAGTAGTTCCAGGAATACGGATTAGTAGCAAAATATCTATACAGTCTTTGGTATTGAAGTATCGCTGTATGACTTCTTACTGAGTCTACGTGCTCGCTCACTGTGACTCCTACAAACGCTGTTACCTCACCCCCACTCTTCCGGTTACCTAAAATCTTTTACTCTGTCACTCTGGACTCGACTCGACTCCGCGGTCTTGCTCTGTTCGCTCGGGTCTTTCCGTAGCAGTAGTATATGTATATACTGGGTGAGTCCATTTGTATAAAAAGGAGTGGACCCCTCAACACTTACTAAAGCCCCTGACGAGAGGATATCAAAAATAGATAGATAGATAGATAGATAGATAGATAGATAGATATGAAAGCACTGATATATATATAGAGAGAGGAGTGAGAGAGATAATAAAATGTTCAAAAATTTAAATGCAGCATCAATCGTCATCTTCTGTCTCACTTGATTCCTCTTCTTTTTATTGTCCTTTCTCCTCAAACTTTTCTCAGTTTCCTTCACTCCCAGTAACTCCTTGCGTCTTAGTGACTTTCTTTGGGGGAAATGAAAATTAATATGTATATATATATATATATATATATATATATATATAGATAGATAGATAGATAGATAGATAGGAGCGCAATTGAAATGAAGATAAGTATTTACTGACATCATAAAATTTGTAGATTTTCTTGAATCTCCTTATATGAAAAATAACTAATTATCACATACGAAAAGTGTTCAGTATATTAAAAAAGTATTTAGTATAATAAATAAAAAGTATTTAGTATACTAAAAAAAGTATTTAGTATACTAATTGACAGAAATTGCTAAAGGACTAAAATTTAGTTTTTTATTCAGGATTTTGAAACAAATCTATTTCTGCATAAATATTTCAATACCAAAGATTGCTAAACTACAATTTGTCAAAAGAAAAAAGTTTCTTCTCAATCAATGATAATCTGATTTTAAAAATTTTTTGTCGGCTAATTTTGGATTAAAATGGCGTAAGATTCATTTACAACAGAAATTCATTACTTTTTTGTCGAAATATTCACCAGGCTGCATCTAAAATGTATTCTTTTCCAAATTTGACTCTCGAAATCACCTTAATGAAAGTTAGGCTTAGGACCACTTCTATGCTCCATTTCCGAGTGCGATCCAGAAGAGAATTTCGAAAAATTTCCCTCATTCTTATTTTACCTAATAGTTTTTCGATTTGACCTCATCTTTTTGTCTTTACTCATAATTGTTGTCTACTTTACAATTACATTCACAGACCCTAACAGTTTATTTTTAGTCTTACGCAAAATTAATCATTGTATAACCAATCTCTTATTTTGACCTCAGATTCTACCGTCTAAGGCCCGTGCAGTAAAGTCTTGGAAGAAACGGTTAAGCCATTGTAAAATTCATAGAATAAATGTTATCAGGAGCATCACTAACCTGATCCGAACGTTGATTTTGTTTTTTACTAATTTACACTCAATACAAAGGCCCAAGAGCCATTCAAGGTACAGGTTACTGTGTGGAACTGTATTAGCGCAAGAAAGCAAAAAGTGAAATTCTTGGAGCTATGCAGGAAATATAACAGTGAACGAACAGATGTGACATAAACCGGTGGTCGCGGTCGCAGTCCAGCGCCAATATGTGACGTCCACTGGTCGCGACGTCAATGTATGACACTGCGCCGTCGGCCCGTGGTCAACTCCCAGTTGCGGCGCGAAGCTGTAAGGCTTCTTCCACCAGCGTTTTGGGGTTGGCTCTTTGTCGCTGCCACCAGCCTGTGTCCCAGTCGATCTGGTCGTTTCCGGTTCGATATCAGCTTTGTCGTTCTCTGCTCGCCTCCAATGCTTCGTCACCGAAGTAACTGCTTTGATCTCAAGTCTAACCTACCCACGTTATGACTTTGATCTTAGGTAGACGAAATCAATCAGTCGTCGGGCTGTAGTGCAAGCTGAAACCGGGGTAAAGGTGATACCGCACAAACGTAAGTAAAAGAAAAATAATAAAACAAACTCACGAGGTTCAAATATGTTGAGAAATAACAATTAACTTTATCTATCTGTTGAATACAGGAGTGTCTTTCGTTCCCGGCCCGTTTCCGTGGATTCGTGACACTTTTTGCGTTTCTTAAGCGAGTTATGGTATCTTAAGACGTTCGTCAATAAAAAAAAAAACTTGCTTTTGGTAGGAAGACTAAGTCGAATAGGAGGTAGAAATCTTTCAGTCAGCTTCTGCGAGGCAATACTCTGACTCTGTCTGGTTCTCTGACGAAACTCTCCAAAAACTCCGCGAAACTCTCTTAGCTGCTTCAAGACGTTCGTTTATATAGAAACCGACCAACTCCGGTGTGGGGGCCCGTCGTGGTTTGGGTTCTTTGACAATTCTTAATTTCCAACAAGAATTCTATTTGTTCTTAGGCCAGGAAAATTAATTACTTCCCATTTTTGGAAGACTAATCACTTTCCGTTTCGGGGGTTTCTCCCTCGTCCGTGATGGAAGGTCGGAGGAGAATTATCCTCCTAGACTCTGCATCTCTCACATTGGTATCTCATACCAATCACCTCAGTGGGTGTTAACAACTTCTCCGTCTTTCTCATACATTCACCTCCGCCTATCACCCATGCTACCAGTTGGCCAATGATCTCTCGGCAGTGTGGGCGTGGCTAGACTGACCCTCTTAGAATTATTATTGAAAATTTTGTTTACAAAATCCTTTTTTACTTTTCTTTTTCCTTTTCCTTCGGCCAAAACATTTACAATTCCCAGATTAATTGCCAATTAATTCTTTATCCCATCCCAAATCCACTTTAGCTCGGACCTCTATCGACTCATTAATCACTGTCAAAAAACCCGACATCTTGGTTCTCAGCTAATCAACCTTCAACTGGATGGGCGTACCCACCCGACAATTAAATTCTTTATTTTTCTCATGTCTTAAAATTCTCTTATCACCAGATGCTCATTTTCGAATCAACTGTTTGAATAAGCAATAATCCCCTTTTCGACTCTCTTTTTTCATGTCAAGATTCGTACATAGACCAGATGGCTTCCCTCGCTGGAGTCAGGAATTAAAGTTAAATGATATCTCTGAAAGATAATCAATGGCCACTCTCCAGGGTGGTCCCATGCCAAATTTCCTCCATGGTCGCATACGTCGGCCGGATTTG